GTGGGTGCTGGGATTCGAACCCAGGTCTTCTACAAGAACAACCAGTGTTCTTAACCACTGAGCCATCTCTCCAGCCCTGAAAGACATTGTTAAAAGCTCTTGAAATTAAGTTTAGGAATCTTAGTCACGTTTCTTGGAACACAAACTTGGATTCTAGTTTCATGTAGAAATGTGTTATATAAACATATCAGTTCCTAGTTTGATTAAGGTATGAAAATGACTGAACATCCAGGGTTATTATTGAGTGATCATTTCTGTAAGCTCCAGATGCAGTGCAGTGTTGCTGGGTAGGAGCCAGCTGACTGATACCGCCTCTTACATATGGACTTTTCTTAATTGCATTTTGCTCTTGTCTACTACAGCATGGAGCACATCTGGAAGCTTTCTGACTAGATTTTTCTTTAATGAACGATTGTTTTAGAACAGTTTTAGATTTACAGAATTATTGCAAAGAGCACAGAATTCCCATGTACCCTATACTCAGTTTCCTCTGAGATTAGCATTTTATATCAATATGGTGCATTTGTGAAAATAAATGATACAGTACTGATATGTTTAAGTAAAGTGCACTGTTAAGTTGCTCAGTTTTTCTGTTAATGCCCTTCTCAGCTCTGGGATTCCACCCAAGGCATCACATTGTATTTAATAGTAGTTTCCTTAGGTTTTTCTTTGTTGTGACAGTTTCACAGACTTGCCTTGTTTTTGGTGACTTTGACAGTTCCTGGGGTTACTACCCAACCATTTGGATTTGTTAGATGTTTTTCTCATGATTAGACTGGAGAATGTTTTTGGAATGACTGTAGGTATAAAGTATCTTTCACACCTTGTATCAAGAGTAAATATTCCGAAGCTAGACATGGCATCAATACTTGTAACCCTAGCAATTGGGAGGCCAATTGGGAGGACTGAGAGTTCAGAGCCATCCTGTGCTACTCACAGGATGTTCCAGGCCCACCTGAGTTGCGTACTGAGACACTGCCTCAAAATGATAACAACAGAGTGTATAGTCTCAATATGGCTTTTCAATGTTGATATTAACCTGGATCAACCAGCTTGAGGTGGCTTATCACATTCCTCCATTGTGAAGTCACTCTTTCTCCATACTGTTCCCGTCAGAAGGAAGTTACTGTGTGTAGCTCGCATATAAGGGGCTGTACCTCACTGCTTAAGGGAGGAGTATCTCTAGAAATTGTTTGGAATTTTTCTGCCAGGAATATTTATCTCCTCCATTTATTCCATAATTCAATCAATTTTATATTCATATAGTCTCATGGATATGTATTTTTCTTTTTTATTTTTTTGGTCTTTTTGAGATAGTGTCTCCCTGTAGCCCCAGCTGTCCTGGAACTCACTATGTAGACCAGGCTGGCCTTTAACTCACAGAGATCTGCCTGTGTCTGCCTCCCGAGTGCTGGGATTAAAGGCATGTGCCACCACACCCGGCGCAGGATATGTATTTTCTATGTCAAAGAAGAATGATATTTCTCTCTTTATTTTCTATAATTTGTGTAATAATTATTACATATGTAGTATAGTATGGCAGTTAGATGCATTTATATAATGATTCACCCTACAATTTTTTCTCTTGTTTTTCCCATTTTATTATTACCAGAATAAATGTAAATGTCTTTTTTTAAAAATATATATTTTTTAATATTTTATTATTTTTATTTTATGTGTGTGAGTGTGTTGCCTGCATGTATATGAGTGCACCTGTGTCAGGCAATGCTGTGGAGGTCCCCGGTCCCCTGGAACTGGAGTTAAGGATGAGTCGTAGCCACCATGTGGGTGCTGGAAATTGAACCTGGGTCCTCTGCAAGAGCAGTCAGCGCTCTTAACCACTGAGCCATCTCTCCAGCCCGTTAAAAAAAATATTTTTATTGAAATTTTGTGGATTTCATACAATATATCTAAATCATATTTAGTCCCCCTCTTCCTCTGCACCCCTCTATAGCCAGTCCACAGAACTTTGTGCATTTTGTCATATATGCTAAGGCCTATCAAGTCAAGTTTGTGTACCGAGATGTTCCTTGGTGCAAGTTCATCCACTGGAGCCTGTTTAGCCTGTATAGCATCACTCCCTTGCAGAAGATCAACTCTCTGTCTCCCAGCAGTGATCAGCTGCCAATAGTTCCTTGCCAAAGTTGTGGCCTCCTGCCCATTTCCCCAGTTCTGTGCTGATTTTTGTTGGATGGAGTTTGCATGGGTCTTGTACATGCTGACACCACTGCTGTAAATTCATATGAGCAAGTTCCCAGAGGCCTGTAAGACTGTTTCCTTATGATCATGCACCTCCTCCCCTGGCTCTTACAGTCTTTTCATCCCGTCTTCCACAAGGGTTCCCGAGCTCTGGGTGGGTGAAGTTTAATATAGGAACCCTGTCCAGGACCAGGAGACTGCACACTCTCTGCAGTCTCTTACTCTCTACACTTCGGCCACTTGTGGCCTTTTGTGTTCATGGCCCTTTGCTGTATGAGGATCTTTGGGAGTTGAGAGATGCATCGTATTCCCTCTGCCCCTGTTCTACTGGTCTTTTCTGTAGTCACCTTTATGTGGATGTTTAAACACCACTTTAGAAAGCTCTTTCAGTTGTCTCCTCTCTAACTTGGACTCGTACCCATTATTATCTTTTGTTGATGTTTTAGCTTTGGTTTTGAGCACTTTTCAGGCACTGCAAGCTGCTTTAGACTCATTTTAGTATGTTTCCTGTTATCCTCCTAGAATCAGATGTTTATCTTAAGAGATTGTGTTATTTTTATTGGGTAACTGTTAATAGAATCCAAGATCTGGGTACTTGTTGCAATTGAGATGTTCATAGCTCTAGACTTTCTGAGATAATAGATTAAGGAGATAAATATGTGCATAGTATCTCACAGGTATATACATATCTGTACAGATACACAACTAATCCATATCTCTATTAGACTAGACTTGAGTTAGTACTAATATCTCTAGCCATAATCCATTGCTACATGTATCCTAACCTCCTTCTCCTGGAACAATGAGAAACCTGGCTCCCACCACATCCTATCCATTGACTTAATTCTTCACCTCCATTGAACATACGTACATGCATATATAGTGGTTTAAAAATTGTTGACATATACCTCTCAGTAAATGGAGATACCTTTGATTCTGTGTTTTTTTTCCACTCAGATTCGGGAGCTGGAGCCTCTTCTTTGCCACAGGGACAATCCATCTCAGCTCATCTGGACGTCTTCTCGTAACGCCAAGAAATCTAACTTCAGTCTTGAGGATATACAGCACAGCAAAGGCCAGGAACCCTACAGCTCTTCCAAATATGCCACTGACCTGCTGAATGTGGCTTTGAACAGGAATTTCAACCAGAAAGTAAGGCTTGTCTCAGTGATGCAGAAATGAACTATGTCTGAGTTTCTGTTTCTAGAACATGGATGTCTTCCCCTGGCTAGTATAATGAAAGTTTTAGGGCAGAGAGAAATAGCTCTCGCCCTTTTAGGCACCTGTAGTTCCTTTACTGTTCCATATTCTTCGGGAGCTCTGATCTGTGGTACCAGAGGGGCACTGCAGTACAGTGCAGCCCCTGTTTAAGTGCTCTGGTGCTGCACTCTCCTGTATGTCATTTCATGGCTGCCCCATTGCAGCTGGGTGGGTCTCACTGTTCCAATTTTTAGATAACAGTCAAGTTTGAGAAGCTGAGTCACTTACTCAAAGGTCACATGACTTGTGAATGGTAGCACTCAGTTAACTGCAGGGCTGTCTGACTTTACCTCTTAGACTTCATACTAAGCCTCATGCCTCCTAACCTTTGTCATGCCACGTCAATGCCTAAAAGTCAGTCAGCAATTACAAATCTTTAGATAATGACGATGTGCGGTGAGAGTCCAGAGCTCTGTCTCTAGGAGGGTGCAGATGGAAAAGGTCTTTTTTAGGAGAAGATAACCCTTGTCAATTATGCTGGCTTTTAATGGCCACTGTCACCTGGAGGTTACTACTGCTTTGTATGGCTTGATTGTCCAGGTCTAAAATCTTAACTGGAATTCTCCAGTCTTTCTCATGGACATTCTCTCTGCACCCCGCCCCTTCTCTATGTTATATAAGTGAAGAGAAGTTGAATTCCATTAACATTTATGAAATATCTGCCATGTGTAGGGCGCTCAGCTCAGCCAGGCTTAGAGCTAAGGAGGAAGGGGAAAGAAAATGGTCAGGGAATGATATAGAGGAGCTACTTTGGTCATGAATTACCTTCTTTCTGAGTTTCACAATGTTCCTTGGTGCTTGGAAAGTCCCTTTTAGAGGGATGGTACGAAGTAAAGGCTAAAAGTATAGCTCTCAAGCTGGATTTCAATCTGCTTTGTCAATAGCTTTATAGGCAAATTGTTTAATCTCCTCATTATTCCTTGTTTTCTTTTTCTGAAAAAATAGGAACAATAATGCTAGCTGGGCATGGTGGTGCATACCTTTAATCCCAGCACTCAGGAGGCAGAGGCAGGCATAACTCTGTGAATTCAAGGCCAGCCTGGTCTACAAAGAGAGTTCTAGGCCAGCTAGGGCTATAGGGAGACCCTGTCTTAAAAAGATTAAAATCAATCAATCAATCAATAAATAATGCTTATCTAAGAGATTTGTTGGGATGATGAAAGAAGGGATCAGCATGGAGCAGTCACAGATGTACTTTGTGCTCAGAATGTATGTGAAGAGGCGGGGGTGTTGTTTATTGTAGTTACTTACAGGAACATGGTGACACAAAGGCTCGCCTAAGCATGGATGATGGATGATAACTCACCTAAGCTGCATCCCTGGGACTCCCTGTCCAACCTGCAGGCAGCTCTCTGAAGCGACTCTTTTCTCCCCCAGCAGTTGTTCACTGGATGCTTATATAACTTTAGTCAGGGACCTTCTGATCCTCTAACTTTCTGAGCCTTGTAAGTTTGTTTCATTAGTTCCTTGAGTTTTACGTACCCCCCACCCCACTTCTCCCCCGAGCCCGACTTCTCCCTGAAGGTTTATGAGTTTCCTTTTAATGCTTTTGAGATATTAAACTTGTCAGAATTGTAGGTACTCTGCAAACTTTCTTTTTCCAGGGCAAGGTCAGTCCGAATTAGTTTCTCCTTTCCTGAAAAGCTCTGAGGTTTTTATTTATGTTTCAGTTGTCAGGTAAGGTTTGGAATTTCATCTCTTTTTTTTTTTTAAAAAAAAAGAGATTTAGCTAATGCTGCTCTATCCTAAAATTTGTTAAGATTAGTTCTCAGCCCATGACTTTTCCTCCTTGGTGTTCCCGAGGAAAGAAGAGACTCAGAAAGAGCTACATAGGGGATTTCTTCTAGAGCCTTTTCATTACTGAGTTTTCCAAATTGTTGACTTAATTTTTAAAAATTAATGACTTAAATTTTTAAAATATTTTATTTATTATTTTTATTTTATGTGTATGAGTGTATTGCCTACATGTTTGTGAGTGCACCTGTATCGTGCAATGCCATGGAGGTCAGAAGAGGGCTTCAGATTGCCCTGGAACCTAGAGTTAAGGACGGTTTGTAGCCGCTATGTGGGTGCTGGGAGTTGAACCTGAATCCTCAGCAAGAACGGTCAGTGCTCTTAACCTCTGAGCCATCTCTCCAGCCCCTAAAATATTTTTAGTGCTAAGAATCAAACCCCAGGCTTTACAGTTAGTATACTACCACTGAGTTACATCTTGAGCCTGTGAGTGGGTTTCTTTCTTCCTTCTTCCCTCCCTCCTTCCCTCGCTCCTTCCCTCCCTCCCTCCCTCCCTTCCTCCTCCTTCCCTTCCTTCCTTCTCCTCCCTCCCTCTCGCCCTCCCCCATCCTTCCCTTCCTTCCTTCTCCTCCCTCCCTCCCTCCCTCCCTCTCTCTCTTTTTCTATCTTTCTAATTCTGACTGGCCTCAAACCTGCTGTGTACCTAAGGATGGTACACACCACACCTGATTTTATGGGGTGCTGATGATAGAATACAGGGCTTCATACACTACAAACTGAGCTATAGCTGCAGCCTTAACTCAGCTTTTGGTTTTTGAGATAGGGTCTCACTATGTAGCTCTACCTGGCCTTGAATTGCTACGTTAAGGCTGGTCACAAATTCACAATTCTCCTGCCTCTACTTCTCAAGTACTAGGATTACAGGCATGAGCCACCATGCCTGGTTACTTCCTACTTAAAAAAAATAATTTTATTTATGATTTTTTTTTATTATTTTATATGTATGAGTGTATTGCCTGCATGTGTGTAAGTGCACCCCTGTCATGCAATGCCCACGGAGGTCAAAAGAGGGCATTGGATGTCCTGGAACTGGTTTTACAGATGGGTTGTTAGCCACCATGTGGGTGCTGGGAATCAAACCTGGGTCCTCTGCAAGAATAGCCGGTACTCTTAACCACTGAGCCCTCTCTCCAGCCCATACTTCCTACTTTTTGTTTAAAAGAAAAAAATGAAGTTAAGAGTATTAAAAATGAGTGAAAATATTCAATATAACAATAATATAAAATGTAGTAAAATCAATTCTAGAGGTACAGGGCTTGCTATGGTTGATGCAGGGCCATTCTTATGACTATGATCTCTGTTAATTGAGATTCTCTTTGTAGAGAGATTTGTAGATATTTGATAAATCCTCATAAAATGATATGCCTTCAGTAAGGACCTGACTCCAACTCTTGAGTCTTTGTGGCACTAATACAGTCCCTTTGTTCCTCCTGATGCAGGAGTGCCCATCACCTAGAAATGAGGGTCTTGTGTACAGGGGAAACAGCCTGTACTTTAAGTTTAGCCACTTGTATTTAACTGATCGGAAACTTCTTGAACTAAACTCAATAAATCTCTTTGTCTAATATTAGGATTGATAACCTGATCTTTAATTAAGCCAATAACAGAAAATTTATGTAATAGGGCCCTGCTTTTCCTCCCCACCATCACAACTAGCTATTCTCTATACTGTAAAATTCTTGAGAGTAGACTTCATCTGTCTGAGTTTTGCATTCTGAGTCAGTGCATGATTCTTAGACTTAAAAGGTCTACTCAACACCAAGAACAGCTGAGAGTGTAAACTTGTCCTTTCCTGGCTTTCTGGCTGATGTGTGTGTCATTTATCACCTAGCATTGCTGAACTGAGTTAATATACATCAAATTAAAACCTCAGTGTGGCTCCTGTCTGTGTTTCCAGGGTCTGTATTCCAGTGTGATTTGCCCAGGTGTAGTACTGACCAATTTGACATATGGAATTCTTCCTCCCTTCCTGTGGACTCTGCTTCTGCCAGTGATATGGCTGGTGAGTGACAAGCACGTCTTTTTAAATTAGGGGTTCTGAAATGTTAAGAATTCAACCTGAAGTGGCAGGCATGCACTTAACTTGAAGTTTTTGATTTTACTTTTATGTACCTTCTACTTTCTGTTCCCTGAGATTCTGACTCTGGTAGCTTCTGAGTGTCCAGTTCTCTTTAAAAGATCTTTGATCATGTGTCATAGATCCAGGAGTTCTTTATCCATATAATTTTGGGAAATCCATGTTAAGTTGGACTCCCCATATCTTCAGTATACCCCTATGTTCTAGAACATCTCAAGAAGGGAATGGCTATGCATTACATGACCTAGAATGATATTTTCATTTGTTGTGTGTTTTGAGCGTATTATCAGACCACTGCTCTTCTGCCACATGTTGGAAAAATGTTACTTTTAGGAACTATCCCTCCTATCAGGAGCCAAGAAGAAATGTCCCTCCATTACAGCAGGCATGGAAGAAGCATGCCTTCATGCTAACAGTAGTTGATTTGGAGTGGTAGAGATTAAGTGATATTCTTTTATTACTCAAAATGTTCTATAATCATAAGTGTGATTTTTATTCTTAAATTTTAAATGAATAATGATGTTTTGATTACTCTTCTAAATTGCCATAAAATATCTCGTTACCTTTTTTCTCAGCTTCGCTTTTTTGCAAATGCCTTTACTTTGACGCCACACAATGGAGCCGAAGCACTGGTATGTTACTTGAGTTATATTGTCTAATGGCTTTTCGATGTAAATTGTTAAGTTCACTGATACTAGAAACAATGGTGGTGGAAAAGGTTCTAAGAGGACAAGGTCTACAGACAATTAAATTTCATTTGAGAATAAGGTAGGTATCAGGCTACGTACAGACGTTGGAAATGCAGCTTAAAGTTTAACATCAGCTGTGACACTGTTACTGTAACTCTAGGGAACACGTCTGTAGAAGTGATATGCACCAGCAGCTGGAAAGGGGCAGAGGACACTAAAGAGTCAGACCAAGGAAGATGGTAATCAGTGAGTGATTTTCCACAGGGGAATTATGTCTTGTGGGATGGCAAGGGGCATTGAAGTCCATCTATATTGCCTTATGTAAAGATTCTTCTTCTCTTGGTGTTAGAGGATTATTTAAAGATTGCCTTGAATCACACATGGCAGTTGGGCTGCATATGTTTCCTCATCCATGGCAGGCATTACCAATGAAATACAGTTCTCTCCTCTGCACACTAGTGATGTCTCTGCACATTTCTCAGTGGAAGCCCCAAAGCTCCAAAGATGACCTCTATTGATGGACTAGAATTCTCATGCAAGATGTCATGTGTCCCCTGTTCTTTATCCCATCTGATTGAAATTCCACTGTGTTAAAGTCAGTTCTGGAGGTGTGCTCACTACATTGAGCTTTAGGACTGGAAAAGAATCAAACCCCGGGCTTTGCAGTTAGCCCTTTACCCTGGAAACTTGGGGGCTGGTACTATAGTGTCTGGGCTTAGTTGATTCTTAAATCTTAACCACATTTAAGGAATTGAATTTAAGGGAAACATGAAGGGAATTGTCTTGATGTTCTTGCTTTGGTAACATTAAAAAGAATCGGGGTTCTTTTGGGGGACACACT